GCGCTCGGAGGGGCCGCCGGGTCGGGCGCAGCGCACTCGCGTCGGGAGCCGCCTCTCCCCCGCGGCGCTCGCCCCTGCTCCCCGCCAGCATCGCTTGTCCCGCGGCCGCGCTCAGACAACAAAAGCGGAAGATGCTGCAGTTGGGCAAGGTCAGGACCTTGCCCTGAAGCCGGGCGGCGGCGCGCACGCCTTTCCCCGGACTGAGGAGCTGTAGCTGGTGGCGGGTGCATGTTCGCGAGGAAGCAATCGGGCGCCGCGCCGTTCGGTGAGTTGCCTTCGCTGGGCTGCTGCTGGGGCCAGGCGCATCCTCCTTCTCGGCGTCGTCCTCCTCCTCGCCCTCCTCCTCCTCGCCGCCGGTGGGGGTTGGTCCTCGGCTCTCGGCCGGCTGGCGGCGGCGGCTGCTGCGCGTCCTGCCAGCCGGGGGAGGACCGCGATCGCGCCGGGTGCCCTCTCAGAAGACGGCTCTCCTGGAATGGGGGCCAGGGTTAGTGCCTTTCTTGGAGCGGTTACCAAGTGGCTTCTCTGCGTGCTCCCCCTCCCTGCCACCCATCTCCCCCGGAGGAGGCGTATATAGGGCAACACCAACAATACTGCTCCTCGCCACCCTCAAGAACATCCCTGTTGCATTCATGACGTCCCTAATATACGGGAGAAGACGGGGTGGGGGTGGGGAGGACTTCCCTCCAGTCTTTTGCCCTTATGTTCAATGTCATTACGATGTTTGGTTAGAACAAAATGGAAATACTTAGTCATATGCGTCCATGGCCATTTCTTTAGTCTCTCGCTGCTTGCCGGATCCAGAGTCCCTTTAGTCTATATTTAGCGGTTCCAGAGGAATCATTTTCAGCTCAATTCACAGGTTTCGGGGGCTTCTGCGTCCTGACAATAGATAGCAAGGCTCTGGAAAGCGCCGCCTAAAACCCAGGTTTGGAAATCTGTGCGTGTGTATGGGAGATTGCGATGCGATATTTGAGTGATCCGTAATTAATGGCTGAAAGCAAAGCTGCTCTCCTTTTTCGCCACCCTTCCTCTTATTCTGGTGTGCAGTGTATTTCCATCGCTTGCTACTCAGCTGGTTCGAGCCACTACGTTCAGAATTAAGTCACTCGAGAGGTGGTGCAGCCTCCCAGGTCTGTGTGCTGGGAAAACAGTCTTAGGGATTTGGGGATGTGTATGTGTCGTTTCCACAAAGAGCAGTTACTTCCAAAATGCCTAAAGTTGTGTTTCTCTGTAAATGTTGGGGTAATGAAGGGTATGGGAAAAGAGAAAACGAGGGGCAGGTTGTGGCTCCGAAGTGCTTTTTCCCCCTTAACGTGCTTCAGTTGAACTGGTTTAGTTTGCTGTAGCTCTGAAAGGTGTTACCCACAGGCACGGCTAATGTTATCCAAAAAATATGTTGGCTTAGAAAAGGAATAGGTTTTAAGTGTAGTATCGAGCCTGACATGCATAGATTTTCACTTTTAGGAACTATGTGACCAATATTTAAGAGGCTTGGAATTTTCTGCAACGACTTCCATGAAAATAAGGGGGTGCTAAAACTACCTAGGAGTTATCTCATTGTGCATCCTTCCATCGGTAGGTACTGATGGTAGTTCAGTTCATCTCTTTGCTGTTAGTAATTCACCTACAGGATTAAAAGGCTTTAGAGCCGCACCACTTCTAAAATCCCATGGAGAAGTGTTTGATATGACTCATATCGAATTCAGGGATGAACCTGTGCATGATTTCGGGTTCTATCTGTATGAGAAGTGTGACACATAGGGATAGACATCCTCACCTATGGACTAGATGCTTTAAACTACCATATAATCTCTTTTACCACATGCAGAATCCATTTTTAGTGTTTTGGGGAAATTGTTAAGTGGTATCCTTACTGGTCTGTGGGTTACAAGATCTCAGGGCTTGAATGAAGATGATTGCATTTGGAGTTAGCTGTTGAAATTTGAGAGGCCTGTAATTACACAGCTAACAAATCTCAGCATTGCCGAATGACTAGCAAGGTCTATATGGCTCAAGTTAGCTGAACAGTGTGATTAGTTTTACCAATATTGCTTTAGTTTCACCTTATTTACATTCAGAGAACTTTCCAAGAGCACTTCAAACACACTCTTGCGCTCCTTGCATTGTTTTAATATAAAATTTCTTTCACAAAGCATGGTGAAGTAGACATGCATTTTTCTCTTTTCACTTTTCCTTTTGAATCTGTTTCAGTTTAAACATGATTCATAAAGGATTAGATACTGCTCTGTGCCTGTGTGTACACACAGAGAGCAGCTGATGGGTGTGGGAAAGACTACATGTATTGTATCTGTGAGTTTTATGTTATATTGTGGATTGAAAATGATAGTCCTTGATTGAATGGCAATTGTAGTAAGTATATGAGGTTGTTGCTCTAATAAAATTGTCATAGTTTTTCTGAAAGGAGTTATTTAATTTGGTGTATGTTTGTGTAGATGTATAACCTAATCATGATAGATGTCACTAATGTTTTCCTTGTTCGTAATAAAAGTCATGCACTGTCAAATTACAATATTTTCCATCAACTTCATATCTTTCACAACAGAATACAAGCCAATTCTTTCTCCCAGTGAAATGGTTCAGCAGGGAGAAAAATGAAATTCAAATGAGATTAGTTGGAAAATGCAATTTATAGTTTTGTTAAATAATTTCTAAGGATAATATCACTTTCATAATGACCTTTAAAATTAAAAATGAAGTTATAATATTCTCACATATAACATTACTTTTGACATATAATTGAATATGCAGTACTTTTCCTGAAAATGTTATAGAACTTGCTGGTTTCTGTTGTGCTTTATCAGAGTTCTCTTTTATATGGTATGCATTGGTGTGGAATTGTTGAAAAGTTCTTCACAGTAATGTCATCAGATTGTCCTTACATAAGAAGACATTAAAGTTACATTTAAAATAATTTATTGTTATTTGTCCATAAAGTCACATATACTTTGTATGGACCAATGTATCTGGTTGTAACAAGCCAATTGAACTAAAATAGGCACTGTTGCATTTTGACTGCCAAAAGTGTTCTTTTTCTCCTGATGATTATCCACAGAAGATATGAACACTCATTTTTGGTTGTCTCTCTTTGTGAACATTATTTTCATTTCTTTAGTGGAGAATTGGTGATGCTAGTATCACTCTTCCTAAAAGTTTTTATTTTTTCTGTAAAGATTTTTATTTTTAAAAGATGCCACATAGTTAAGAGGACTTAAGCTGGAACACCATCATTCAGGGGGTGAACAAATTCCAAAAGAAGATCACCAGGTATTTTTAAATCTAGTACTTCTGTTGAAGGTGTGGTGCAATGGGTCTTTTCTGGATGATTTACAAGTCAAAAATACGCTTTGAGGGGCTGGCCTGGTGGCTCAGTGGTTAAGTGCGTGTGCTGGGTTCGCTGGTTCCGGATCCCAGGCCCGCACTGACACACCGCTTGTTAAGCCATGCTGTGGTGGTGTTCCATACAAAGCAGAGGAAGATGGGCACGTATGTTAGCCCAGGGCCAATCTTCCTCAAGAAAAAAAGGGCGGGTAGGCATCGGATGTTAGCTCAGGGCTAGTCCTCCTCACAAAAAACAAAACAAACAAAACAAAACAAAAAAATACGCTTTGAAGGCAAATTCTTCAGTTGGCCTCCATAATGGTTTTCATCATCCATATTCGGAAGGTGTTCTCAGGGCCACAGTCCTTTGATTTGATGGCTTTGTGATACTTGTTATGTGGATATGGGTGAAAAGTTAATTCAAGCGGGAACAGTTCATGATACTTGTTGCTTGCTTCAAGTTTATCTGATTATATGCCAAAGCAGCAGCTTTTTATATTAATGTAAAATATTAAACATGTCGTAGATAAATAGTTTCTATCACATTCTCTGCCAATCTAGCCTACTGATTAATAAACTGCCTGGTTGGGTTTAATGAAGCCAATTATATTCACAAACAGTGCCTCTGACACAGGAAACTCACAGAAATATTGGATCATACTGTGCTTTTAGTCTATTAGAAATGTTAAGACTCATAACAAAATGTGTAGTTATGACACCTCCGGTGGTTTGTCTTTTGATCACATAGCAGTTAAGTATAATTTCAAGCTCCGTATCATGGTTAATTGATTTGTAGGAAATGTCTTAGCTATATTAGGATATTGAAGTTATACTCTGTATCAATTAGCTTTTGACAAATTGGAGATAATGACTAAATATGTGAAACAATGCTTGCTAGAAACTTTCCATGTTACACAAATATTCACCTGTGTCCCTTAGTGAGATTCCTGAAAAGTTATCTGTAACGTGAGTTACATATATTGAAACTTATTATTCCATTAACTGGTATTTCAGATCAGAAATGTACTTCTAGAGGAAAAGTTGGGCTCTGCCTCACAATGAAAAAAAAATATATATATATATAAAATATTGGAATATGTATTATAGTATAATGCTATTTTGGATTCTGCTTCGGGTAAGTGCAGAGATGTGGAGAGAGCACTGGCTTTAAGTGAATCCCATCTCTGTCTCTTCTTAGCTATGTGTCCTGGCCATTTATTTGATCCTCAGATTTTAGCAATTTTTTCAGCTGTAAAATGGGTGCAATAAGACAGAATATCTCAAAAGAATGATTTCAGGATAAAGTAACTAAATGCCTGAATGGCTTGTAAATTGTACAAACACAAGAGATATATATCTACATGTTAAGATGGATACTTATGCTTCATTTATGTACTATTAAATGCGTTATATAGGCCACCACCCTCTCTAACAAAGGCTGTTAAATGGATGTATTCTCTTCCTACTCCTGTTGTAATAATTCTTATGTAGATTTGCATATAAAAAATGTCGTTTTTTACTCTACAACGTACCATTCCTTTACGTATTAAAATATATGATAGTTAAGCTAAAAGAGAAGTAAATTATATCTCCCAGCACCATTATTTAAAAAAAGATTCTAATCTAATAGTCAGAAATTGCAAAACTTTGATACTCTTTATTAGCGTTATTCACCTGATTAAGATCCAATTTTCTATCAGGATTAATATTGTACAAAGAATATTATAAACAGTGTAATAAGCATCACTCTCAGTGAGGTGAAATATTAAACATCTGCTTTGTTTAGAACCATAAAGCATGAATCCCATCATACTATCATTGTGACAAAGAAAAAAGAAACTTAAACAGCTACATTTGTTACATAAAGAGAAGACCCCCCCCCCCACTCCATCCTCAACTAAAATCAAGTTCTTGGAAAAAAAAGTG